GCTCGCCAGATCTGCTGGAGCTGGAGCTCCTCCAGAGCCTCTGACAGCAGGCTCCCACCCTCCTGCTCGACTTCATTGTGGCGCTCCAGCTGAGATCCTTGCTGGTACTCCAAGAAGAGCTTTCCGCCAACCAGACCAGCACAGCTCATCAAAAGCCAAGGGCATGGGCACAACCTCCACATCCCACCAGCTTCATGACTTGGAACTGGATTAACAGCTGGGGTTTGATGATCTCAAAGGTCTTTTCCAACCTAAATGGCTCTGTGATTCCATGGACAGCTGCACTAGCAGGTCAGCCATTCTACTGACAAGCCTTAACCCTCCACTTCCTTACAGAAATATTTTTATTCCAGCTCCCTCTGTTGCAAACTTTGCCCCTTCCCCACGGCTGGGAAGGAGCACTGACAAGCTGCTTCAGAGAGGAGATCAGCCTTTGATCTCCTCCCAGAGAGGAGATCAGCTCTTTGGATTTCCAGCTCATAAGGATATAGGTGTTCTTAATACTGTTGGGAGTGGCATTTTTAATGCTAAATAAGTTTCAGCCTGAGTCAAGGAGGTCAAGTATTGTGGGCAGCACAGAGAAGCACTCATAGGAGGGACTCACAGAAATTAAAGAGTTTTTCCTTAAAAAAAAATAAAAATCTGTTATTAATTTCCTTAATGAAAAGAGCATATTCTAGGATGTGAATTTAATGACTCAACACTTCTGCTGCAGTGTTACAGAGTCCCTTCACTCATCTAGCTACCGGAGTTCGGAGAATTTCTGGGTTTTATTCAGGATAAAAAGTGCTGAACCCTAGGGCAAGGAAAGTAACTGGAGGAGGGGGTAGAAGTCCCCCAGGATGGCATGCAAAGGGACTCAGCAAATCACCATCCTCAGATCAGACTTCAGGTTCTGGAGTCCCATCCACATACACTTGCCACCCTGTGACTATACCAGGCCCTCCCCATCCTGAGATTCCCTACACTTGTGGCTGGCATCGGAGGGCTGGGAGAGCAGGACACCCAGTAATGGGGACAGGCAGGGCTGGGTGTTGGCAGACCCTGCCTATGTAGCAGTGGCTGGGCAACGATGGTCATCCTGGCCATGGGTCTGGTAGGTGTCACGAACAAGCAGTGAACGCTGATCGGGGCATCTCTGGGGCTCCTTGTGCTGCACCACCCACGACCAACCCACTGTGAGAAATGTCAGCCAGGCCTGATTTGAACCAAGAGCAGATGGACAGAGGCTGGAAAGTAGATGGAGGGAAGGAAATTTGGACCTAATCTCAAGACCCCAAAGTGTCTCACTAGGAAAACCGGGCAGCTGGCTGAGTGGCAGAGCAGCATGCAAAGGTGGAGAGGAAAGGATGAGAGACGAGTTACCATGCATGACCTGTTCCTGTCACCAGTGAGGTCAAAGAACCTCCCAAGGGATACCACACATCCTGACTCGTGCTGGATGTGAACAGAGGTTGTAGCTTTCTCAGCTCCTGAGGACATCCAGCCTACAACACTCCAGGTAAATAAATCCAGGAAAGGCTGGAAGACCCTGTAACAACCCAGCAGCAGGGCACTCCTAGGTGTTTCTTCACCTCACGCTCCAGGCCAGAAACCCTGGTGCTGGCAATGCCAGGCTGGCATTGTGTCGATGCGCTGACTGTTTCTGGAGTGATGGACAAGGCACAGCATTGCGTACCTTGTGTACCCAGAGTAGGCCTGTGCACTGGGACATGGCACTGATAGCTCCTGGGTGGCTTGGCTGGCTTCTTCTCACACCCTCCATCACCTCCTTGCTTGCCTCCCTCTGCTCCCACCCATCCCTGGGGTCCCCCAGCTCCAGCATGTGCAGGGACAAGGATGGGAACTGGAGGCAACGGGGATGTGGAACTGGGTGCAATGGGAGCGGGTCTGGTGCCTGTGCTAGTTTCTACACCCCTCTACTGGGCAGCCAGCACAATCGCTAAAGAATGTGGCAGGAACCGCAGAAGGAAGGCTGGCACAAAAGGGAATAAAAACCCAACATCTTCTTAAAAATGAAAATGCCAAGAAAAGCAAATGATTTAATTACAATTTCCCAGTGTGGAAGATCACCACCAGCCCTGTGGCCGGCCAAACTGAAGTCCATGTGAACATCCCCCATGCCAGCTCTGCCTGGGGGAACAAGATCAGATCCGTGATTTTCACCAGGAGAATCCTGAAAAAAAAAATGAGCCAGGAATTCTCGCCCTGATCTACCAGATATTGGATATCTAGAAGACCTTCATAGCAGGCACATGGAAATAATCACTTATCTTTTACATTTTCATAAGGCAGCAAAGGTTGGGGATTTGGGCTTGGAGACATCCCGGATCAGAAGTTTCTAAGCTCAGGCAAAGGTTTCCCATGCGTTCGGTGACATGACCTCAGCCTTGCACAGACACTTGATCACCCCAGTGGAACAGGGGAGAGAATCCAAAGTGAGAAAACTTCTGGATTTTCTCCCGTGAAACAGGGAAAGCAAAAGCTGAACATGCAAGTAAAGCAAAACAAGGAATTCATTCCCTATTTCCCAGGGGCAGGCAGGTGTTCAGCTATCCCCAGGACAGCCAGGTTCCATCATAGTAAGGTTGACTTGGGAAGGCAAATATTATCACTAGAAATGCCCCCCCTTTAATTCTTCCCCACACTTTTTATACCGTTTATACTTTTTATACTATTCCAGACCGGAGATGGTCTGGAATATCCCTGGGGTCAGTCATCGCAGCAGTGTCTCTCCTCGAGCTACTCACTGGTAGAGTGAGGAGCAGAGGCTGACACCCTGATTCTGTCAGCCCTGCTCAGCAGGAACTAAAACATCCCTGTGTTATGAGGACTGTTTTCAGCACAAATCCAAAACACAGCCCCATACAGCTACTGTAAAGAAAATTAACTCCATCTCAGCCTAAACCAGCACATTCCACACCATTTATGTGATGCTCAGGTCCAAGCTATCCACACAACCTCATTAACCATCAGCCACCTTCCCATTCTTTGATATAATACACAGGTATCATTCCCCTAGTCTATGTGTAAAATAAAAGTGCCCTAGTCCCCTGTGTAAAGTGCTCATAAAATGTCCACAAATATTCACAAAGTGACCACTGCATTCACTGATTCCATGACTTCGGGCTCTACCTGTTCTGGTGGTGACTCAGAGCAGGACAGGTGCTGTGTTGTGTGGAGTTACTGGTCATCAAAGCTAGCTCAGGTCAGGTCACTGCTGCACTTGCACTTCCTTTTGTACAGCTTCTCCTCTGCAGGTTCAGGTGGTTCCTGCTATGGTAATTCCATAACATGCATCTCAAATAATGGGCTACAACAATTTAAAGGTATTTCCACTACAACCATCAGGTTTAACATTGCAATGAATTCCTCCCTCCTCCCCTGCACCTGCTCTGGTTTGGATTTAGTCACAGACTGCAGTCCCTTAGAGTAGGCTCCACCTGCTCTAAGTGGAGCCTTATCCATGAACCACAGTCTCTCCAGGGATATACCTGCTGTGGCTTAGATTTGTCCACAACTACAGTCACTCTGAGGTGCACCTGTGCCAGCGTGGCCTCATTCAGGGACCACAGCACCTTCAGAGGCTCCACACCTGCTCCACATCTGCTCCAGCGTGACCTTACCCAGAGCCACAGTCCCACTGGGAGTTACCCTGCTCCAGCATGGCCTAACCTTCAGTCTCTTCAGGAGTGTACCTGCTCTGTGTGTGCTTATCCATGGCCACACACTTTCAGGTGCTCCAGCATGACTTTAAGCATGGTCACTGATGCTTCAAGGTGTACCTACTGCAGCATGGATTTATCCCACAGCCACGGATGCTCCATCTCAGTAACAGTGACTTGGGCAGACATCATCACTCCAAACATCCCCCCTCTTCCTTCTTCCCTGCCTTTGCATGTGAGAATGACTCCATTATGGGTCTGGAATATATCCCTGGGGTCAACTGTCCCAGCTGTGTCCCCCCTAACTGCTTGTGCCCTCCCAGCTGCCTTGCTGGTGAGGAGCAGAACAGCCCCTGATTGTGTCAGCCCTGCTCAGCAGGCCCTAAAACAACCCTGGGTTATCGGGACTGTTTTCAGCACAGACCCCAAACACAGCCCCATACCAGCTACTGCGAGGAAAATTAACTCCATCCCAGTCCAAACTGGCACAATGTTTTTAACACAGCAGTGTGCCAGCTGGATCTAGACCCTCCATGGTATATAGATCAACTGATTTTTATAAAAACACATAAGCTGAAAGTACAGCCCTTCTATACAGCCCCCAAATTTAATAATATGAGAAATTTGGGTTCAGAGTGTAATTGCTATTTCTGGGCACAGACCTTCCTCAGGAGCAGGCAGGACCTCCACCTGAAATAGAGAGTATGTGATCAGGCAGCAGATGCAATAGTCCATGTAACCTCATCCAGTGCTACTGGGGAGAAGAACAAGCATTTTCATAGCCCAAGGATATCCATTTCTCCCTGTGTGTGTGAGCTCTACCTGTACAAACACCCACTCAGCCCCATGCTGGGAGCCCCTGCTCAAATGGAGGGACCATGGGGTAATGAATACACTTGCAGAAGAGAGAGGAAGAGTCTGAGAGCCAGGACAGCCCCCATGAAGCCATGCTTGGCTGCTGTCCTGGACTGGGCACTTCAAAGACTATGCCCAGAGGGGACTCAAGGCATACAAGGACATTCCCTCATATTTTGCAAAAGAAACAGTGGAAAAAAGTCCCATCCGAGTCACTAGTGCATAGACAGTGACAGTCAGTTCAGCAGTTCTCTACATATGTGTCAGGGGGTCCCATTTTGGTCCAAAGCCTGGGAGTCAGTGGCTGGAGTATGATGTGATATGGACAAGGTGATGGGAGAAGGAAGCATAACAGAAACAGTCAGACACTTGACAGCAGACTCTTGAGACACCAGTCTTGCAACAAACAGCTGGGACATGACAAATTCATGATACACATATTTTAGACTGTTTTCATAAGACATTCATATCTTCCCATACCTGCTGGTGGCATGGCTGGAGAAAGAACATGAATTTCACACTGAGGGCTCCTCTGACAGCAGATTACAGGAAATAATCACAAGCCAAATATTAGCCCTCATCATCATCATCATCATCATGTCTGGGCTTTGCAAACAAAGATTTGAGAAGGGCTCTACCCATGCTTGCTATGAGCACGCTGATGGTTAAAAAGGCCAATGAGAGATAGACAAGTCTCATTGCAAAAGGCACAGCAGAAAGACTCCCTAGGTGGTATCAACAAGATGCGATTCTTTCTGCATTGTCCTTTCTCCTTGAGAGTGATCCTGCGTGTGTTCTCAAAAGCAGCAGCAGCGTTATAGATGGTGTGTCTCCAGGCCTCCTGACTGGAAGCCAGGGTAGACCAATGGTGATGATCATGATGGCCAAAGTGGAAAGATTGTTTCAGGGAGTCCTTGTATCTCCTCTTCAGGGCTCCTCTCTTGCGGCAGCCAGTGGAAAGTTCCCCACAGAGCACGATCTTAGGGAGGCGGCAGTCCTGCATCCTGGAGACGTGCCCTGCCCAGCACAGCTGTGTTCTCAGCAGCATGGCCTCAATGCTCGTGACTGCTGCCTGATCAAGGACAGACGTGTTGGTCACATAATCCGTCCAGTGGATGTTTAGGATTGTACGGAGGCAGCGCTGATGGAAGCGTTCTAAGAGACGCAAGTGGTGGCGGTAAATGACCCACGATTCAGACTCATATAAAAGAGTAGACAGTACAACGGCTCTGTAAACACTGATCTCTGTACTTTTCTTCAGGTGTTTATTACATCAAATTGTTTTATGGATTTTTCCGAAAGCTCTCTATGCTTTTGCCAACCTTTTGTCTATCTCTTTGTCAATTTTACTGTCCGAGGAGATGATGCTTCCCAAATAATTAAACTGCCGGACTGACTTGAGCTCTGATTTGCCAATGATGTTATGGGGATGATGAAAGACTTCCTGAGGTGCAGGTTGGTAGAAAACTTCTTCAGGCTGACTTCCAGCCCAAAAAGCTCAGCAGCCTCTGCAAAGCAGGATGTTAAATGCTGCAGAGCTGCTTCTGTGTGGATAACGAGGGCAGTATCGTCCACAAAAAGCAGCTCACGGACAAGATGATTTAAAGTCTTAGTATGGGCCTTCAGTCACCTTAGGTTGAATAGGCTCCCATTGGTACGATATCGAATGTAGATGTGGCAGTGAATAAAAACACAACCCTCCTGGAATGGTGAAAATGGAGAGACTGACTTTATTAAAACTGAACAAGTTCCTATATTTGAAAAAGGCATGGTTACAAAATGTGGGGGGAGTAAGCACAGTCCTGTCCAATCACTTCAAAGCTTCTTTCTGGGACACCCATAACTGGTCATCCTCTCACGGCTTCCATCAGGACTTCAACTCCCTATCTACACCACGGTCATTACATAACAGATAACCTGTATTAACTTGCTCATATAGATATGGTATCTACAACATGTAGATATGTTTTTCTTCTTTGAGGTCTGCAGTGGCCCTTTGGAGCATCATGCTGAAGAAGATTATGAATAAAGTTAGTGCAAGAACGCAGCCTTGTTTCACACCATTGGTTATTAGAAAGGACTGAGAAAGTGCATTGCCGTATCTGACTTGGCCACGCTGATCCTCATGAAGCAAAATGATCATTTTGAGGAACTTGGGGGGACATCCTAAACGTTCCAAAATCTGCCACAAACCTTTTCTGCTCACAGTATCAAAAGCTTTGGTGAAATCAACAGAAGTTACATGGAGTTCTTTATTCTGTTCCCTACACTTCTCTTGCAGTTGTCTGAGAACGAATACCATGTATGTGGTGCTCCTATTAGCTCTAAAACCACAGTGCCTTTCAGGTAGAAGGTCTTCTGAGATAGCAGGTATTAATCTGTTAGAAGTATTCTTGCAAAAGCAATAGAGAACAAAGTAATACCTTTGTAATTTGAACAGTCTGATTTATCTCCTTTCTTCTTATACAGAGTGATGATGACTGTGTCACAAAGGTCTGATGGTAGTTTGTCTCGTTCCCAACAATGCACCACCAGCTTGGCCTCCATGCTTCCAGACTTCAAGTGGAATTCCATCAACCCCAGCTGCCTTGCCAGTTTTTACCTGCTGTACGGCCTGAAGAGTTTCTCCCATAGTGGGGACAATATCCAATTCATTTTTCACCAGTTGTTGTGTAATGTACTGAATTGCTGAGCCTTGAACTACACAGCTGGTACTGAAGAGAGTCTGAAAATGTTCAGACCATCGATTGGGAATGGAAGTCTTATCTGTGAGAAGCATTTGACCATCTGCGCTGAGTAAAGGGCTTTGAACCTGGTGTGTAGGTCCATACGCTGATTTCATAGAATCCTCTGTAATCACCCATCTGCACATAATTGAATCCTTTCTGCTACATTGATCCACCACTTGTTCCGGATGTCTCGAAGTTTCTGTTGGAGCTGACTGCATGGAAGACAAAAGGCTGCTTTTCTTACATAGCAAGATGGCTGAGCAAGGTGTGCTTGGTGAGCAGTTCTCTTCTTTGTCACCAATTCCTGGATCTCTTGATTATTTTCATCAAACCAGTCCTTGTTTTTTTTAAAAGAGAACCCTGAGGATTCTTCAGAGGACTGCAGGATACTATTGTTAATATGTTGCCAAAGTGCTTCAGGAGAGGGATTAGCCCTCAACAAGACAGACATATTACATGTGATACTTTTATTGGACTAATAATAAAAGGTTAGTAGAAGGTTACCAGAGCTTTGCTTCATATGTCACAGATTATGATTAATTACAGATTCAAATATTTGTAACGAGAGATCAGAGCCTTTCACTCTTAAGAGGGGAAAAAGCTCCAGTTGATGTGGCAGATCAAGCCATAAAACTAATGCATTGGAGGGGCTTATCCTGGGTCCCAGGGGTTCATCCTGAGTCCCAGGGGTCAGGGACACATGTCCCTTTGGGTGTGAGGAAAGCTATTGATTCAAAGGCTGAACCTTCTGCCACATGTGCTCATGTGTACCAGGAACATGACTTCCAAGTCAAGGGTGTAAAATTGATATGACACAACAGAGAGAGGCCGGGGAAAGGGCCTGGGACCACTGATCTGGAAGGATGGAGAAGATAATTTGATCTTATCTGCACCTGCTTTGAGCAACCTCTACCAGCTTGCCTGGACTGTGTGAGAGGTGAGGTTCATCTCTGGTCGCTGTGTCACTGTTTTGCAGCCAGTTCTTGCCTTCCAGGGTTTCCAGCACCATAAGAGAAGGCATAAGACAGCACAGGGCTGAGGCCATTTTAGTTACAGCCAAGGCTGGTCAGAGAAGTCCCTAAATGGCCTTCTCCTTCTGGGCCCCAAGCTGGTCCTAGCCCAGCCACCAAGCTCCCCAAGGTGGCAGGATAGAGAAAGAAGAAACAATGTGAAAAACATCCCACTGACTATGGGGGATGAACAGTGAAAAAAGGGCAAGGGTGTGAGAAGAAAAAATTTGCAAATGACTTGAGCGGGCACTTGAGGGGTATATGGCGCCCAGCGAAGAGGCACCTTGAAGATACTTTATTCCTCCTCAAGGATGGAAACAGGAAAACAAAACCAAATGGTAAGATGCTAATATGAATCCTCTGTCCCTTTCCATATGGCCTCAGCAAATTTCACTTTGTTGCCACGTGCCAAGAGCTTTGAGATGTTCCACCAGAGAGGCCTTGTGCTCACTCCTGCTCTGTACGGCCCTAAGCTGAGCAGGCTGGTTGTCATCCACTTCCAGGGATGTTCTCCCCAGAAAAGGCAGTGATGTAAAACATCAGCTGTGGGCTGAGAGTTTAGAGACTGAATGGAGACGATCTTGCCATGAAGAATTTATTTTTCCTTGTTTGGAATTGGGAAAAGAACTCCTTAAGAGGCATAGATGTTGAAATGAGCATGATCAACTATGCGAGAGCAGCTTTTATGGGCTGCAAGGAAAACATTGAAGGGCAGATCACTGGAGAAATGCAGTTCCTTAAGGCTCTGATCCTGAAGAGCATCCACTTGCAGGAAAGCCCTGAAGAACAGGCTGAGCTTTCCTCCTTATCCTTGAACTTCAGTCTGGGCTTACACAGTTTTCACCGGGCATGGGATGGTTTAGCAAGAATGACTAAGTGGGTTGTTTCCAGTGAGTCTTACATGCGGTTCCGTAGGTGCCAGCACAGACAAGTCCAGGTGAATGTCCACATGAAGGGGGTTTGAGTCAGGGAATTGTTACCCTCTGGGGAGAACAGGAATGGAAAATAACAGAATACAGCTGTAGTGGGAAGAGAAGCTTTGGGATCGGACACGCCAACCTGCAGTTATCTCAGAGTAGACACAAATTACTTAAACAAACGGATTATTTTACATTTCAAGTCTTTTTCAGAATTCCCCTCCCGTTCTTCCCGTGGGGAGCTGGCGGGCACGGCCCGCGCATGCGCAAGCCCGCCCGCGAGTCTCGCGCGCCCGCGGGACCCCACCCGCCTCCCCGAGCGCGTGCGCGTGCAGCGCTCAACGGCCGCACCGCCGGCGCGCGAGGGCGCGCACACGCGTTCCCCCCGCCTGCCGCCCGCGCGCAGCAGCGCGGTGGCGTCACCGCAGGCCCCGCCCCCCTGGGTAAAAGCGGCGGCGGGCGGCGAGCGCCATTGTGGAGCGCCGGCACGGCGAGGAGCCGCTCCGCTGCGCCTTCGCCCCTCGCGCCGCCAGCGCTCGCTCGCTCCGCCAGCGCTCGCTCGCTCCCTCCCTCCTCTCTCTCTCCTTCTCTCTCTCTCTTCCTCTCCCCTTCCTGCTCCTCTCCTTTCCCTCCTCTCCTCCCCCTCCTACCCCGCCGCGGATATGCCGCGCGTCTACATCGGCCGCCTGAGTTACCATGTCCGGGAGAAGGACATCCAACGCTTCTTCAGCGGCTACGGCCGCCTGCTCGAGGTCGACCTCAAAAACGGGTGAGCACTGTCCGTCCGGCCCCCCCGCGAGCCCGGGCCGAGCCCGTCCATGTCGCGGCCGCTGCCGCGTGGCGCCGGCGCAAGATGGCGGCGGGAGGGGAGCGGGGGGGCCGCGGCACCGACCGGGCCCGCCTCGCTGTTCTTTGCCTGACCGGGCCCTTCTCCTGTCCCCAGCTACGGCTTCGTGGAGTTCGAGGACTCCCGCGACGCCGATGATGCCGTGTACGAGCTGAATGGGAAGGATCTGTGCGGGGAGCGGGTGATCGTGGAACACGCCCGCGGCCCCCGCCGCGACAGGGACGGCTACAGCTACAGCAGCCGCAGTGAGTCCGGGCCCGTCCCTCCCCGCGGGGCGAGGGGCGGTGGCGGCGGGCAGGGGCAGGGCCGGGGGCAAGGGGGGCTCGGCTGGGACCGAGCCCCGGGGCTAGAGGGGTCGCTAGCGGGTGATACCCGGCGCACCGCAAGGACTGCAGAGATTTTCCGGCACCAGCGATGCGCTTTGGTATCCCATAGCACTTCTGGCCGCGAAATCGTGGCCTTTTAGAAGGGGTTTGGTCTGTTGATTTGGAGGCTCCAGTATTGGGAGCGTTTAGATGTGACAGCGATGTTGCATCAGTAATGTTAATGTATAAATATAGTTGCGTAATTGGGGGAGAATCACTCAGCTGTGAACTTTCATGTGAATGTTTCAGTTGGGTATATGGGAGGGACGGGGGGGAGGTTTTGGAGCAGGAATCTGTTGTGCTAAGGGGTGGGTATAGTAAATATTTCAGTGCTCAGCTCACTCGTGTAAGCTTCTTGAGTGAGCTCTGTAGAGTTTAACCGGCCTAGTACTGTAATTAAAAGTACTAAGGTTGCCTTTTTAGTGGTCTCTGGAAGCGTGATGTTGGGGGAGGGGGAGGGTTCTGTCTTTCTGAAAAAAAATCAAATGTATGTTGTTTTAAAATTGTTGCATGTTCAATTCAAACTTTTTAACAAGTCCTTGATGTTTCAATTTAAAAGTGACCAGTGGGGCTGAGGCTGTGTCCACTGAGGCTAAGATGACTGCCTTTCCTGGCCATGGCTTTTCCATACATTGTGTGACCCTTGCCCTATGACCCTTTGGCTGACCTTACCGGAAGCCATGACGACAGCAGCCTTTTGCCATTAGACGCAGGGTGATGGTGAGGATTCCAAGGGTTAGACAAAACTGGTTAAACTGAACTAGGTGACTGTTACCTTGCGTGTTTTGTGGCCAAACCACCACCAAAAACCTCATACTGTGATGTAAGTACTTAGTGTAACTAGTAAACGTTTTTGTAAAATGTAGAAATGCATGTAATCAGTTAAGTTTTATATTTTACAATGTTCTGTAAAATAAAACTTAGCAAGGTGAATCTAATAAGGAGCAGTCACTCTCTAACAGATCTTAGGAGCACAGACTTGTAGGATTTTAGTCTGTTTGATTTGCCATTAATGTAGATTATGGCAAAATTGCAAAGTTTATTGGAGGCTTAGAGAAATAAAGTCCTACTCCAGTAAATATGACTGTTAAACTAACTTTTTCAGAACATTAAGCTTTCTTCATGCTAAGGGACGATCTAACTTTGTTTCTTTGTACAATCAAGGTGGGGGTGGTGGCGGATATAGCAGTCGCAGACAATCAGGACGAGATAAATATGGACCACCCGTTCGTACAGAGTTCAGACTGATTGTTGAAAACCTTTCCAGTCGCTGTAGTTGGCAGGATTTGAAAGTATGTATTGATGTTCTATTGTGGAGCCTGTTGTGACAAGCAGAAAACAGTAGCTTCCTTTAATAGCAATGTTGATATTGATATTGAATTAGAAGTAATTGGAAAGTGTTTGTACGTGGATGTTTGCACACACTGAGTGCTGCTTGCAGAGCCCCAGCCTATGGTGTGTTCTGTAACTTTTCCTCTGCTCCTCAAAGGATTTCATGAGGCAGGCTGGGGAGGTGACCTATGCAGATGCTCACAAAGAGCGTACGAATGAAGGAGTGATTGAATTCCGGTCGTACTCGGACATGAAGCGTGCCCTGGATAAACTGGATGGCACAGAGATAAACGGCAGGAAGATCAGGCTGGTGGAAGACAAGCCACGTTCAAGCCATAGGCGATCCTACTCTGGCAGCAGGTCAAGGTAACTCTCGAAATATGTCAGTCACTGGATCAAGACACTCAGAATGGGCATAGGTACCCTACCTGCAGTAGTCACCTTCAGCTGATAGTCTAGGAATAGGATGGGACTTGAGAATGTAGAAGGAATTATTTTATGCAGTACAGCAAAACCGGGTTTGAGCAGTTTTTTTTCACATGTGAAACCTCAGATGTGATTTCACTGATGGTACACTGAGTCTGGGTGGGTTAATAGTGTGTACTGGTTTGGCCATCCTTACTCTTGAGAAGTTCTGTAGCAGCTTTTCTGTTAGCTTATGCCACCAGATAGCATAATGCATCAGATGCATGTATGAAGAGATTCTTTCCTGAGAGGGTGGTGAGGCACTGGCACAGGTATCCAAGAGAAGCTGTGGCTGCCCCATCCCTGGAAGTGCTGGATGGTGCTTTAGCATCTGGTCTTGGTGGAAGGGGTCCCTGCCCATAGCTGGGGGTTGAAACCAGGTGATCCTTGAGGTCCCTTGCATCCCAAGCCACACTATGACTCTTCTAGATGATGCAGGACACATGAGGCAAAGAAAAAGGGGGCGAATTAAATTTTAAATGTTTGCAGATCACGATCCAGGAGACGGTCTAGAAGCAGAAGTCGGAGAAGTCGGAGCAGCCGCAGTAGGTCCCGTAGCATCTCCAAAAGCCGTTCGCGGTAAGTGCCAGTGTGTTAAACACTGTCAGTACAGGGACTGCTGCTCACTGACAGATATTTACAGACACTGTAAGTACACTACAGGTCACACAGAATAAACTGTCTCTCTTAAAAAGATCTAAATCCAGGTCACGAAGCAAAGACCGCTCACGTTCCAGATCCAAAAGCAGGAAGTCCAGATCAAAGAGCAAATCGAAACCCAAGTCTGACAGGGGTTCACGCTCTCACAGCAGATCCAAGGAGAAGTCTGAGAAGTCTCGATCCAGATCCAGGTCCAGGTCTCGATCTCCCAAAGAAAATGGTAAAGGAGATGCTAAGTCTAAGTCCAGGTCGAGGAGCAGGTCTCGTTCCAATTCTCCGCAGCAGCAGCCATCTGCCAAGGCTCGTTCTGAGTCACCACCCAAAAGAGCTGCGTCCAGGTCCCGCTCCAGGTCCCGTTCAAAGTCTCGCTCACGAACAAGATCTAGTTCAAGGGATTAGGACTAGAACTCTCATCTTGCACATTATTATGGAACATTTTCCTACCTGTCAGGCCATTAGTGTTACGTTAGTACTTCAGAAGCTGGTTTTTTCTCCTGCAGGATTGAATGGCCTAAGAATTAAGTCATGAGGCATAAAGGTTTCATTTGTATCCCAGATGGGGCAATATGACATGAGATGGTGGTACAAAGCAGGGAAAGTCCCCCTTTTGTAGAAATTCAGCTAAAAGTTTGATTTTATAGCAATTCTGCAGGAGTAACTTGAGTACTCTTAAATGCAAAGTGGTTTTTATATTAAAAATAAACTGAATATAAACAGGCTAAAATCTGGGCTCTTTTGAAAGTATCCTTTTTTCCTATTTTTTTTTCATTACATTAGAGCTATGGGTGTCATTAGCTTCATAGGTTTCAGAGTGCTGCCAAAGGCAGAATTGCCTTGCTGGGCAGGTCATACAATTCTCTGGTTTATTGTCATTTTGGAAGCAGGCTGCAAATTATATTAACCAGTAATAATACTAGGAAGATTTTAGACCAGCAATAAACTCAAGTTGGAGGATTTATGGGGGATAAGGTACAGTACCTTAACTTGCCAAAAGAACATTCTCCCCCATACTGTGACTGTATTAAAGGTAATAAAGGTACTCTGGAACCTGTATCCTACAGTATTGCTGAAAACTCCTTCATTTCAGACTTGAAAGAATTAAAGCTTTCGGATGTTTTTTGCTTGAACATCAAGTGTCATTGTTGTCAGACACAGAGGTGTCTCTTGGCTATGGTCCAAGTCACTAGTGTGTTGTATGGTTTGTCAGCCTCTAAATCTCTACTGGATATGAAACCCAAGTAAAGAAATCTGTCTTCCCGCCCCTTTGACTCACTTATGTTAACGTTTCGCTTCAGACTAGAACTATAATCCTCTTGTGTGTAGGTCAACTTTCTTGGAAATGTAATCTCTTGGAGCTAGAGTTCTAGTTTTAACAAAGGCTTTGCTAAACCACAGTT